GGGGCTAGTCCCCAAGTGGCCCCGTTTCTCTTTATTCCAGAGTTTATATATAAACACAATACAATTAGACATTTAAATTTTTCTAATCTTTAACATTAAACTTCCCCTCTATCAAAAAGTGTCTGTACCCTGACTCAGACTGTTCTGCCAACATTTCATATTAGTTTTGTCCTTGGCCAACATTTTCTATACTTTGTAAGACACATACTATTCTTATCTAGACTCTGCTTTTCTAGATAGACAGTTTTATGCTTTAACTATTTAGTCCCCGACAGGCTTTCATGTGAAATAAAGGGAAGTTTAATTTTTACTAGCTTTTCCTGAACAGTAAAATTGAAACATATATTAGCAATGCTCATCATAGGATTGTATCTTCCAGGTTCCAATATAACTTGGACCTAAATAAAAACTAAAAGAAAATGATTTAAAATTCTTTAATATGTAAAGTTAGATCCATATTCTACCATAGCATCCTCAGATGATCTATAATATGTAAAATTCTTTAATATGTAAAGTTAGATCCATATTCTACCATAGCATCCTCAGATGATCTATAAGATCAATGTGATCACATTCCAATACAGTTGTATTGTTTTCCCTATAACAAAATGTATATGAAATTCATTTTTAAAAAACCAGATTTTGAGACTAACAAGCAATATTCTGGGAAAATGTTTCATTCACTCAACAAATATGTATGAAGATCCAACTCTGTGTCAAACCCAAGGGACAGATACAGTCCTTATTATCATGGATGCAACAAACAAGAAAAAGTTTTAAAATGGTTAAAAATGCTAAAAATAAGCATTTCTATGTCAAACTATTTTATTCACTGAAAGAAAAAAATACTAAAAATAAGTTCTAAGAGTAGTAAATAATCAGAAACCATAATATATGATGAAAAGAAAGCTGTAAGAGGCTTGAAGACTACTTTAGCCTGGTTGGATCAAAAACCTGTCTGAGGAAGCCAATGCTTAAGTGGTCAGAAGTCAACAACTAAAGGGCAGTCACAGTTCTCTGAGTGTGGACATGAACCTTGACCTCCTCCCAGGAAATCTACAATGTTAGAGTTATTGTTATAATAATATTAAGATGTCACTTGCATTTTTTCTTTTTAATTATCTCAGAAGTGAGCAAAGGAGTTTTTCAGAAGCTATATGACATGTGATGATATCATGGCTCTGATAGCTAATAAAATATCTGCTGTGTATTCTTATGTTTTCTAGGATTTTTATAGTAGCGAGTTTAAGAGTATAAATATGTTTTCTAATCTTTACTCAGTTCGTTCTCAGTAACGCTGCTTTATTTTTAATGATCAATCTTGGTTTATGCATAACATTATGTCTGCATTCTAGTTATCACCCAATAAATCATTATTTTGCAATCTTGGTTTGTGCATAATATTATGTCTGTAATCTTGTTATCATCCAATAAATCATTATGTTATAATCTTTGTAGTCTTGTACTGCAATATTTTTATTTTTTAAAAACTATTTCTAAATTTTAAAATTTTATGTAACATATTTGTGTTTTGAGTTTAATGTTTTATTCAATGTTAAGATAAAAATTATAATATATTCTTCTTATATTTATAATGGATCACTGTTTTTAAAAAGGAAGATTTAAGATTTTCTTTCTTCACCCATATCTCCACTGCACGAAAGTTATATATTGAGAGGTTTTTTGAATCACAATAAGAACTCAGTTTCAAAGAAAGTGGGTGAAAATGGAAATAAGCTACATAAAAAATAATGAAAATCACATTAACCTAGAAGTTATAAACATCAGTAACTTAACTTATTTTGTCTTATACAATGGAACATTTTAAATAGTTTTAACAATTGACTTGGTATTATTTTGAAACCACTTAGCAGTCATAGAAAATTGAACTAAATATTTTATTGTAGATGTGATGGACTCTAAAAGCCAAAAATTGTTTGTCATATCTTTTTAAAGCAGAAATGAAAAAGCCACTGAGCATTGTACTGGGTGAGTTATATTCCATGGCCCGAGATGTGCACACAGAAGCTGAAGACTACAATGACATTGCTGAATGCCTGCTGGATGAAAACTCAGTAAAAGTAATCACAGTGAGCCGCTCTCCACTGATACAGTAATTCATCAAAGCATGTTTATTCTAAACATGATGATGGAGTTAATATCATATCTGCAGAATTGTTCTTTTATCTTACAAAGAGACAAGTCAGTAGGTAACTCTGGCTGAACTAGCCACATTTTTAAGGAGCCTATTTTAAATTAAATGTGTGACTGACATGCAAACTACAACTTGTGAAATTATAATATTTTGTAAATATATTCTTAAAAAAATAAAACACATTTTTAATTTCAAGGAAAACAACTTGCAATAATTGGCAAATTTCAAGATTTTAAACAAAATTTAGACTTTTGGAAATCAGAGTAGAAAATGTTCCTTGATATGAGTTAAGACACTATTTTGCAACTAACCTTTACGGAACTGCCATTTGCTGACTTTTCGGTTTATTAAGGAAGAGTAGTTGAAATTGCCTAAAAGACTACTGATGTACTCATTTTAAATATCTGGATAGGGTGAGAGTTTCTTCAAATGCCGCAAACAAAGCAACATATCACAAGAGATTGAACAAAAAGCAGATATAAGAATCCAGCTCACTTCTATCCAGTCATGCATTAAATAGATCTGCAAACATATAAGTCGATTCTATTTCTCTTGCTATGTAATTGCATGGAAAAAAAATGGGTATTTTCATAACAATGTCATTTATGTTGTCATGGAATGACTGTATTATTTTGACCTTAAAGAATTACTTAAACTATTAAAATATTTTTGTCTTAATTTTGAATGTGGTAAATATTTGTAGATAGGACCCACATATATATTTGGTGTCCTCAAAATATCAACCTTTTTTTAAGAATGTAGAGTCCTGTGAAAGAAATTTTCTAAAGCTGATGGTCTCTGGGGTATATCTGAGGTCCAAGACAAGGCCAGAATGGCTAGCATATAAAAGGCAAAGGGAGAAAAGAAAATGACACCAGGGTACAATTCTTTAAGGTCTTACAAGCCTCAAGCTAAAGAATAAAGAAGGGAGACTGGCACTACCAGATATTATTTAGTAAATAAAACAGCGATATCACAAAAATTTTGTTTGATTGTACCCAAATTTCATGAATGAATGGTGAAACAGTGTTCACATATACCATTTGATAGGAATGATCATAAGAACAACATTTTGGAGGCAATTAGGAAATAAGTTACACATTTTAAAATATGTGTATACTTTTTTCCAGAAAACCTACTTATTTTTGAGATTTTCCTTAAGCTACATTGCATACCATTTACTCAATATAGTATTTTTTCAATCATAAGAAGAACAGGGATCATTTCTCCCAAAAACAAATACATGACTGTGCAATTACCTAAGTGAAGAAGTTATCTGTGTGCCAAACTATCTGAGTTATCTCATTGATTGCTATTAAAAGAGAAATATAATTATATTGTGTATATAGAGCATATCTGAAATATTTGAAGTAATAAATCAAATCTAAACAGCAATTTATTCTCAAAAGTAAGATTGGAGAGCCACTTTGGTTTGGGCTTACTTCACATTTCACCTTATATCCTGCTATATATGCTGGTTAATGTTTCAGCATATACTGTACCATTCTATGTATTATTTTTATAATATAAACATATGAATAAAAACATAATAAACCATGTCATTGATAATTCATACATACATACATGTCACATAAGATATCGAGAGAAATGGAGGCATTATAGGATGAGTTTAAAAATACTCATCCATAAAACCATAAGAAACATGGATATGAAAGATAGTTTAAAAACTAAAATTTGTTATGAAAACCCAACACATTTATTGTTTTATTTAAAAAAATTAAGAGGTAGCTAGGTGAAATTTTTCAAACAAAATATGAGTATAGAATTTGACGCACTCAAAATAGACAAGGTCTACTTGCCTATTTTTTCTTCAATCTTTCTATGAGTATTTATGTCTTTATTAAAAACTCATATCTATCAGTAATTTTCCTAAAATAGTAATAGTAAAAATTTCATATCTATGAATCAGCTTACAATTCCATGAGTTATAGTCAAGAAGATTCCCTTTTGTTTTCCAACAGTTCTATAACAAATATAAGGCTTTTATTCTAATAGTCTTTTATTCAGTCTACTGAAGTAGCGGATGAAGTTAGTTTCTCACAGTTCTCACTGCTACAAAGTGATATAGCTATTTAAAAAGGGGAACAACAACGTGGCAACTAATATTAAAATATCTGGTTGTAAGAGTTCTTATAAACATGATGAAATGAACATTTTGGAGAAGTAAATCTCATAAATACAGCTTATAAAAATCACACAATGAAATAGACAAGAACTTGAGCAGATCTCTCATTTGGTGAAAGCATGCATCAGGAACTGAAGACAAAAAATGTATCATGCTAGTCTTTTATGAGATTACAACTTTGAGTAAGTTTTAATTTTGAAAAAAAAAATATCCCCAGCATGCAATGACAGAATGAAAGAATATTGCTTTGTGATATTTTTAGCATAAATTTTTTTCTCTGTTCTTTTATGGGGTTGTTGTTTTTTTTTTTTTTTTTGGCATTAAGCTATAGAATACTATCCCCAAGGAAGGTTTTGGGTGAATTCCTAAATGAAATCCACAAAATAAGAAACAGGCAAGACATTGCTGATTGGTTCCAGATCTGAGTAACATAAAAAGAGTTGCCTTAACATAACTTCACATGTTGATATTTATCATTTGTATCCGAATGTATATGAAGCATTTTTTATATTTTAGAAACTAATATAATTTACCCTTGAGGCCAAAAATCAAGTTTAGTCTAAGTAAATCAATATAGATTCCAAGAGTGACAGGCAAAAATGACTCAATTCCTCTGAGTCTGCTTATTTACATTTTCCTGAAATTATTTGTTCTGTGATTTATGAGCCTTTTAGACGAATATGATAACTGTCAGAACGAATTGCATTAAAGTGTTGCCACAGAGGCAAAGAGATGTGTAGGAGAAATGTTCTCACGGTGAGTTTCCTCCTTTGGAGCAGGACTCCAAGAATGGCTTGGGTAAAAGCGGTAGTATTTGAGCTAGTTAAACACTCTCCCATTCCATAGGGACTGAGCTGGGTTGTCTGGGCTCCCCACGTCCACCTGCACTTGGTTAGAGAGCAGAGTGTTCCATGCCACACCGCAACAGCCCCACAATGACATAGCTCCATTCAGAGACTGGCGTGACTGGGCTGGGTCCCCCACCCCCTTCAGCTCTTGTATCACTCAGAATCTGGCAGCCAGTTCCGTCCTGACAGAGTTTACAGCATATATTGGTGGATTCTTGTCCACAGTGCATCTGCTTTAAGAATTAGCGAGAGCAGTGTCAAGGCAGGAAGGTAAGTGCTGTTTTAACTATAGCACTGGGGATGCTGACTGTTTGGGACACTCTTTGTTGTAACAGGAACAGAAAAACATTCCTGAGCAACTTTGCCAATTGCTATTCAACAGCAAATTCACAGTTTTGAGAATTTACTTTCCCGTTTTCTTTAATATACTTTCCATGATTTATGGATTTGAGATGAATTTTGTACAGTATATGCTTGGCAAGGGAAGTTATAAAAAGTTTCAGGGTTAGAATGAGAAAATAAAGTAGATACACTGAAAAGTATGGGATTTAAAATGTTTGCTCTTTATGCTAATTAGTTATATGTGTTAGTATTGTTGGAACCTAATATTGGGGCAAAGAAAGATCATTTCAACCAACATTTAAAATATGCTGCAATAAATCTATTGTGACAATTAATTATATTTTACAGTAAATATTCTATGTTATAAAATATGAGCTGAAAAACTTAGACATGCCATGGATTACTTGTTTCTATTTTGCTAATTTTAAAGATTTGGGGTTTTTGGATGTGTGTCTTAAGGAAAATATTTTAAAGAAATTCTGGGAAACTTTAATTTTTGGGAAAAAAACAGCATATTCTCTATGGCCACAGGTATTTGAAAAAACTGGGGGAAGTACAGTATGCTTTTGCCTATAGTTGAGTCACTACATGGCTATAAACTCTCATTGAATTCAGAGTCCTTGTTTTTACTCTGCCAAAAAAAGGAAGCACTTTTTTATTACTATTCAATACTCACATTATAGTTACCATAAGTACTTAATTTAAACAACTTATTAATGCAGCAAGACAATCTTTACAGTATTAACACCCTGTAACTTATAAATAATCATAGGAATATGTTGTCATGTTCTTTTTAGTGCTGTGTAATTATTTCATGGCCAAGTTCTATCAACTAAATTAAATGCCCCAACACAATCTTCAGGAATAATTTAACTAAGAATCTGGCTGCATGTTATGTTAGTAAAGCATTTACAACAATTTTTTAAAAGTGGTTCATCTGATGAAATAAAGTCTCTTATAATTCTAATTTAAAGCAAAAGAGAGATTTTTTATATTCCTAATTCCAAAGATTCTACTTGCTTCAAACTGCTTCCATCCAAAAACTTGTATAATACTTTCATAAGGAAATATAATATTCTATTATCTATGAGAATATGGATCCTTCTTTATATTAATGATTCTCTCCCAGGGTACCAACTTCACTTTAGCTATAGCTCTTCACTCTGTAAAAGTACAATTCTTATATCCTAATTTCCCTTTGCCTAAATTGCTAATTCTGTGCTTACCCCCCAAACTGAGATTACTGCATTGAACCTCACCTTAGAAACATGTTCGTTTGAGAAAATAACTGTTGACAAATTATTTTAAATGTATATACTCACATGAATTCTTCCCTTGATGGTTCCTAATGCCACTGTTAAATAAAAACAAAACTTTTTTACATTTCTCACCTCCATTCTGTGAGACCACTAAGATCCAGAAAAGCAAGTGATTCCATCTTAAATTTTGGCATGAAGAAGGTAGAGAATTTATGAGTAATTGAAAGGGACCATAACTTTGAGGCAAAATTTGAAAAGGAGTATCTTTTCCCACCTGTTGGACTTAAAAATCATTAGATTGTGATTAATAAACATTAGTTTAATAAAATGAATTTACTAAATAGCAGCTTCAGAACACACTTTTGTGATGTGCTTAAAAGTAAGGAATGTTAAACAAAACTTGACATAATATGTGTATATACCAGCACCAAGAATTTTCTTCCCCTTCTCAGGACCAACAAAGATCAGCAGACACTTTTACAGGAATGCACCCCCTTCCTTCCTACTCACATAATAAGAACAGCTTTCCTCCAGGCAAAACCACAGATTGCCCATGTTCTCAGTAGGGACTTTCTTAATGAGACATTTTAATGATGCTGAATGATAGGGTAGGGTGTACAGTTTACAACTGTCTCCTCATTTTAATTTATTCTAGCTTTGAAGGATGTTTCGAAGCAGTGCTCTCATATGGTGGTCAGTGAACACCACCCAGAAATCTCTTGCAAGAAGGTGTTTATTAAGGAAGAACCTAAGGAGATTGGAGCAATTGGGCTAGGGTCTCCCAGAAGGGGGCGCATGTGTATGCAGTCTAACCTGAAATTTGTTCATCCTACAGTTGCAAACATACACTTTTTTTTTAGATTAGAAAATGTAGCTTATTCAGAAAGTAAATTAGAAAGAGAGAGAGAGAGAAAAGATTTACTTCCCCATGGTAGTGGAGGGGGCCAAAGCTAAGAAAACATGATGGTTACAGCTCAAAGAGCACATGGCCACACCATAGCTTAGCAGAGCAAAAGTCATAAATATGCATCTTTATTCTCAAACTTAAATACAAATTTGAAGAACACCATTAGATACACTAAAAGACCCTAGAAAATATAAAAATTAACATATTCTAATGCAGTTAATGTTGGAAATTGAATTTCCTTTTCCTGAAAGTATATTATTTTATAATAATAAGTATTTTCTATTTATTTAGGATTCAAATCATTTGCCAAACATGAATCTAGGTGTGTTTACTCTCCTCTTGGCATTAATTGGTGGTGCCCTTGGCCAATACTACGATTATGATTTCCCTCTGTCAATTTATGGGCAATCATCACCAAACTGTGCACCAGAATGTAACTGCCCTCAAAGCTACCCAACTGCTATGTACTGTGATGAGTTGAAGTTGAAAAGTGTGCCAATGGTGCCTCCTGGGATCAAGTACCTTTACCTTAGGAATAACCAGATTGACCGTATTGATGAAAAGGCCTTTGAAAATGTAACTGATCTGCAGTGGCTCATTCTAGATCACAATCTTCTGGAAAATTCCAAGATAAAAGGGAGAATTTTCTCTAAATTGAAACAACTGAAGAAGCTACATATAAACTACAACAACCTGACAGAGTCTGTGGGCCCACTTCCCAAATCTCTAGAGGACCTGCAGCTCACTCATAACAAGATCACAAAGCTGGGCTCCTTTGAAGGATTGGTCAACCTCACCTTCATCCATCTTCAACACAACCAACTGAAAGAAGATACTGTCTCAGCTGCTTTCAGAGGTCTTAAATCACTCGAGTATCTTGACTTGAGCTTCAATCAGATGACCAAACTGCCTTCTGGTCTGCCAGGCTCCATTCTAACGCTCTACCTAGACAACAATAAGATCAGCAACATTCCTGATGAGTATTTCAAGCGTTTTAGTGGGCTGCAGTATCTGCGTTTATCTCACAATGAACTGGCAGACGGTGGAATCCCTGGAAATTCTTTCAATGTATCATCCCTGGTTGAACTGGATCTCTCCTATAACAAACTTAAAAATATACCAACTGTCAATGAAAATCTTGAAAACTACTACCTGGAGGTCAATGAACTTGAAAGTAAGTAGAAAGCTGTGCCTGTGTTTGACTGACATATCCTCAAGTATTTTATATGCCTAAGCTGTGCAATACAAATATTTCATCTGGCTCCAATCAAAGAAAGATAAATTAAAATGCCAAGGACATCTCTCTCCAATTCAAAAATAAGAATTCTAACTCAATTATATGTCCAATATCTTACCTTCCTTTGGGGCATCCCAATAAGGAACAATTAAGATCACAGAACTTAATATCTAATCCCTCACATTTAATAGTCTGGGCTAACTTATCCTGCTGTGTTGCCTTTTGATATTTATCTCTTATTGTTTGCTTCCTTTTTGGCTTAGATTTCTGTCCTACATTTATTTTTTGACAAGATCTAGCTGAAGGAGAAACAAACGAGTTCAAAAGAGGAAAAGTTGGGAAAAGATTTCACACCTCCTTCCGGCACAGCCACAGAGAAGCCCATGTCTTCTCATGGTCTTCATTGATGTCATTGCTTGGGACTCAACATTGTTACTCTGCTATCATGACCATAATCTACCCCCATCATCTCTGTTTGGTGTGTGTAGCCTTCATGGCATTCTGATAAGGGCTGTGAGGGAGATTCAGGGGGGGAAGGAACATGATGGAGGTTGGGTACACCTTTAATTTTTAATAATATTGCAGAGCCCCTTTTGTTATATAAAATTCTCCCCTTAATTTGATGATCTTCAGTTCTCCTTTCTCTCTTTTTTTTTTTAACTTCTGGTTAAAAAAAAAAACCAGAAGTTTTTTTTTAAAAAACTTATCAGGTCTTCTGGGACATGTTTCAGTTTAAGCAACATAGATTCAGATAGGGGAAGTTGAAATCCACTCTTTAGCAGAGTTTGGCAGAAAAGAAATACCATGATTCATGGATAAGGTTTTAAAATAAAAACTCAGGTGCGAAACACTTATTCCCATGTAAAGCAATTATAACTGCAAAATAATCTATTGAAATCAAACATTTCTATCTGATGAAAATTGGTTTTCTTGACATACTAGATAAAGATATTGCTACTAGAAAAAATTACAGACTCCCTTATGAATATGATACTTGGTTGTTCTGCTGCAGCTTCACGGGATGCCTAGTAGGACTGGGTGTTCTCAAGGCAACCATGCTTTCTAGCTCTGCAGCACCACATGTTCTTTGTTGTATCTGGAAAGCAGCCAAGGTGGGGATTGGTGCTGTTGGACTGTCACGCAGCATAGTCAGGCTCCCATAGCTAAACCCCTACAGTAGTTTCAAGTGGAAAATTCGCTATGTGGCAACACATGGTCCCACATTTTAAACATGTGCGGTTAGGAGGAAGGATGTTCTGATGGACCAAAATGCCAAAGGGGTTTAAGATGTTTGAGGGTTGACGAAATCCATTAGAATTGGTGGGTGGAGGTTAACCACAGGCGTGGGGCTACTTCTTTCTCTGAAACAAAAAGGAGAAAGATATGGATGCAGACACATTTGGAGGTTTATATTGTATGAGTACTGAGTGTAAGAGCCAGTGTAGAAGATGGGGAATGTGGCCTGTGGGAGAAGGGGCACTCAGTGTCAAGGTGAGATAAAAACCACAGTGTCCAGGACACTGCGGGCTTTTGAAAAGGTAGCAATACAGCAGGGCCCTTCTTCCTTTCTTATCCTTGACATTTGGTTAGGGGTTCTTGTTGTTTGTCTTTTCTTCTCTTTTTTTTTTTGAGTTGGAGTCTCACTCTTACCCAGACTGGAGTGCAGTGGCCGCTCCTGGCCACTGCAGCCTCCACTTGCTGGGCTCCGGCGATCCTTCTGCCTCAGCCTTCCAAGTAGCTGGAGCTATAGGCACGCATCTAGGCGCGCGCTACCACACCCGGCTAATTTTTTGATTTATTGTAGAGATGAGGTCTTGCTAAGTTGCCCAGGCGGGTTTCTAACCCGCAGGCTCGGGCAATCCACTCACCTTGGCCTCCCAAAGCATGGGATTACAGGCTGAGCCACCGAGTCCGGCCTGTCTTTTCATGTATCTCCTCCATTTAGGTTATTTCACTAGATAATCATCTATACCAATTATCCCCATTCTCTAACTATAAAGAGTCCCTTAATGCTTCTCCAATATTAGGGAATATATAGCCAAAAGTCATTTTCCATATTTCAAGCTTGCAACACTAAGCGTTAGTCTAATCACAGATCTCCCTAGTGTACAATAATTTGGAAAAGACAACTCAATTTAAAGAACAACAGTATTACTTAGAACATACTATGTACTAGTACTGTGTGAAATGCTTTACATACCTTAATTAATGCAATCCTCATGCAGCACAATGAGATAGACATGTTATATCTAAGGAAAATCAAATAAGTGCTCCAAGGTCACTCACCTGTAAGTATTAGAGATAGGATTCCAAGATAGCCTATGCCTATCTTTGTCCCATGGTTCCACACTTTCTCATATATAGGTAACATACAGAGATCCCTGGAATCAGACAGATGAGTTACTTAAGAAAAAATGTGGTACATATACATGTCGGAATATTATGCAGCCATAAAGACAAATTATGAAATTCGCAGCAACTTGGATGGACTTAGAATCTATGATACTAGGTGATCTATCACAGAAACAAAGAACTGAGTACCACATGTTCTCACTCATAAGCAGACCTTGCACAATTATCATAATACTGTAAGAAAGGGATTGGAGTAGTGGGAAACTGCCAGGGGAGGGGAAGGCATACCTCATCAACAAGGGTAACTGCGTAATGAACATTTGTATACCTAATCCTGAATTGTACCCCACATCTATAAAATAATTTTTTTTAAAAGCAGTATCTTGAAGGAAAGGAGTACAGTGTGTTTGAGTTTCCGCTGAAGTCATTGTTAACTAGAGTTTGAGAATGAAGGAAAATAACAAGATGAAAAACCAGATAAGGTTAATCTAAAATAGACTTGGGTAATGATAGACAATTTCTTTGTACACACACAAGTCATCCAATTCAGTAACAATCTTGGTTTCTATTCAAAAGTGAACCAGTGTTTCATTTTTGGCAACTCTTTGACCGCAGGAAGAGACAAACATAGACCCAGATAGTGAACATTCCATGCTTTGGTTTTTGCCTTGGAATTTTGATAATTGTCTTGGTGTGTGGTTGTTGGAAAATTCTTTACAGATCATGTAGTTAACCCGCTTATCTGAAGATGTAAACATCAAGAACACTTATATTGGTGAGATTATTAACACAACAGAGACATTCATTTCTATTTCTTTAGGCTGGGCTAAATATTCCAGAAGAGTTTTTAGATAATATGACACACATGTCGAATGGTCTTTATAAACAATTTATAATAATAAGCAACTTTGAAAATGTCCATTGAATATCTTTATCTACCATAGTTCATAGTTACTCTTTACTAAACATTGCTCTGTCATTTTGGTGGCCTGAAACATGCCTTTAATGGTTGAAAATTCAAAGATATATTATACTCTGACTTTTCTTAACAGGGTGAAGTCCTATTTGGTAATATTATAGGCTTAAAACATTGTTTTGAGCCAGTGTGCTAAGAAATGATTAAAGTTTTCTATTTTTTAAATTTCCAGAGTTTGATGTAAAGAGCTTCTGTAAGATCCTGGGGCCATTATCCTATTCCAAGATCAAGCATCTGCGTTTGGATGGCAACCGCCTCACCCAAACCAACCTACCACCTGACATGTATGAATGTCTACGTGTAGCAAATGAGATCACTGTTAATTAATATTTGCTAATTCCAGTCATATTGCAGTGCCTCCTGGGGCAAAACCTTATGGTTATGTTTTGTGTGTGTGTGTCGGTTTTTACAGTATCTATTTTTTGTTGCTGTTTATTACGTCCATAAATTTTACATTCTGAGGGAAAATGTTTTGTAAACATTTACCATATTTTTAAAAAAGAAAAGATGAAAGGCTGGCCTATTTCATCACAAGATTATACACATACACACAAAATTCAATGCTTTGTTTGTAAATGTAGTGTTTTCCATATCTCTACTGTAAAATGATGTGCAAAGCCTTTTATTGATTGCATGGAAGTCAGCCAAGTCTTAAAATTCTTAAATCTTAACTTGATTTGTCTAAAAGCATGGACTACATACAGATGGATGTTTACTGCCTTAAACCAAATTATCTTGATATATTCAAATTTGTTTAGTTGACAAAAAATAAGTATATTTTGAGACCAATAATTCTGCAAAATGCTAGATAAAATTTATGAAGACACATGCACTTAAGAAAGTATTTTTAGTTAAGAATTTGCACACTTACCTAGAGAAACTTTTCTTTTCTAAAATTATTTTTCACTCTAAGTCATGTATATGTTTCTTTTGATTACTTGCATGTTATGTTTGACAAGCTAACGGCAAAATAAAACATAGCAAATGGCATTACTGTGTTTGACTTCTTGTGAAATTTATATTTTTTCATATATGACATACATTAAACAATCGATTAGAATGCAAGTGATATTTCTAGCCTTCAATATTGTACTGATGTGAACATAGGAGTCCCACTAAATAACTTGTCTGCTTCAAGCATCCACTTACAAGGAGTTTTTTAAAACACACCTAACAATGTGGGCTAAGATCTCAAAACTTGCTTAGATATTTTCTTTCCAGTTGCTTTTAGTGACTCATGTGCAATGGTATCCTATTAAATAAAAAATTGCAGTAAAATCACAGCAATCACTGCTTGGTTATTTAGCAAAAATAATAGGTAACTCCCAGGATTAAAAAATGTTGGATATCAAAATTTTCTGAAAATAATACTTTAAAAATCTATTTATCTTAAAACCAATAATATTTGAACTATAGGTTCTGAGTTTATAATCTAATAATAACAGCTTTCTGCTTTCTATATCATGAATATCCATAATTCTATGCAATGGAAAATAATAAGGTATATAATTTATAAAAATAGCTTATTTTTCACACAGCTAACAATAAAGCCTGCATTTAGAGTTAAATGTGCAATCAGAAGTATATTCATTCCATATCAGTGCATATATTTTCAAATATGTGTCTAAAATGAAAAAGCCTTTCTCTAAAGCATAATATGCTTTAATCGAACATTTTCAGTAAGTTCCATCTTATGGTAAAAATGCCTACCATCAAAGAATTATCAACAAAACTGAGTTGACTGGAAGATGTGTGAGATGCACATTACACTAGGCACAGGTTGTATTTTGATTCTCATGGCTTTCTACCTTAAGGTACATTTCTTGAGCTGTGAGAGCACCCTCAGGTCAGTTCTTGACAGAGGCTTAAAGTCTGCTTTCCCTTGCTAAAACTGTAATATAGAAGAAATAAGAATGAATTTTCCTTCTTCTGTCTACAAAATTCACCACCAGTTCTTGGAAGCCAATGCTCAAATAGGTAGTAGGTAATGTGTCATACAAGAATGTGACAAGATCGAACACATCAGGGTCCAGTGAACACTAGCTGGGGAATGAATACTCTAAAAACCTGAACTTCACCTCTACACAATTCATTGATTCAACCAAAAGCCACGCGCACCCTTAAAGCTATCAGAATTTTTGCAAAGAAAATGAAAAAGAAAAAAGAGTGTGATAGACTAAGATGGTCTTACTTATACTATACTATAAGGAAAACATCTCAGGTGACAGCTTTTCTACATCTTTAATGGTCTTTGATTTATCTTTAAACAAAGTCTTATGTTATTTTTAAGTCTAAAAAGCAAGATTATAACTTTTAAAGCAGCAATTCCCTTTGGAGTTAACTTCAGTTGACAAAGACCATGTTAAGCACATCCTTGTCTGGGACAGTCTGAGAAAGGTTTGAATTAGATTTAGTTTGGAGATATCTCCTCTTCATAGAGTCCATCTCTTCAAGAAGAAGCTGGAGAAGAGAAGCTTCATGGTTGAGTCTTCACCCACTGGGCAGTCCCAAGGAGTTGCTAAAGGAAGAAGAGCTGGAGAGCTGAAGACATCCAATCTGCTCTTCCCTCATTTTTTCACCCCACCCCACTCAGAGTAGCATGTGTCAAAACTTCAAGTGCATGAAAGAAAAAAAAAAATAACAAGAAGAAAGACCAGATAAGGTTAATCTAAAATAGACTTGGGTAATGATAGACAGTTTCTATGTATACACATAGGTCATCCAATTTAGTAACAATCTTGGCTTCTATTCAAAAGTGAATCAGTGTTTCATTTGTGGCAACTCTTTGACCAAGCAGCATGTTGTAGTACTTTGCTACATGCAGATTACCAGTACCAGTGCCTGAGATATCCAGGCCCAATAAAATATGCAACACAGGACTCAGTAATCGTTTTTAATCAGGGTTTTACATTTTGCCCAGGCTAGAGTGCACTGGCACGATCAGGGCCTACAGCAGCCTTGACCTGCTGGACTCAGGCAATCCTCCCTCCTCAATCTCCCCAGGAGCTGAGACTACAGGTATGTGACACCACACCTGGTGAATTTAATTTTATTTTTCGTTTTTTAATTAATTTATTTTTAAAAATTTTTTTAGAGATGAGGTCTCACCTCCCACCTCATCTTCCCAAAGTGTGGGATTACAGGCACACACCACCACACTTGGAAATTTTATTAGTTTATTATTTGTAGAGACAATGTTTCACTGTGTTACCTAGGCTGGATTTGAACTTCTGTTTTCAAGCAATCCTCCCACCTCGAACCCCCAAAGTGTTGGGACTATAGGTTCATACCACCACTCCTGACTAATTTTATTATTACTATTATTTATTATTACTACTATTATTATTATTATTATTATTATTATTTTGTAGAGATGAGGTCTTGCTATTTTGCCTAGGCTGGGATCAAACTCTGGAGCTCAAGTATTCCTCCCACCTTGGCCTTTCAAAGTACTGGGGTTATAGGCCTGAACCACTGTGCCCAGTCAAGACTCCATGTTTACAAGAGCATCCATGAGTGATTCTCCTACTGTGCCACACATTTTTAAAAACACTAGCTTATTGTGCTATTATGATCAAGCTATTGGAATCCCAAATAACTAAAAAGCAAAAAAGTGCTTTTCTCTAGGAAGGCAGATAGGAAGGAGACAGCTCTTCACAACACCCATCCATGAGAATAAGTATTTCTGTTTTCCATGTTCTAACTCTTTTAAACTCTCTAACCCTCAGACTCTTATTTGTAAACATGAAATGCAAATGTTGCTTTCATAATGGTAGCGTGGGACACTCCTGACACCAAATGTGCTGGAGAATTGCTTTGGAATATGGTATCATACTTCTCACTTACCTGTGTTCCTTTCCTTTCAGCATTGCCAACTAGAGCCCTTTCAAAAGAGATTGCTGAGGACTCACTTTGATTAAACTTCAAGAAGATATCCAGGGGAAATGGTTAACAAAAGTGTAAATTTAATACGAGAGCTGACCAGGCCCTGTGGCTCATACTTGTAATCCCAACACTTTGGGAGGCCAAACGGGGAGGATTTTTCCAGACTAGGAGTTCAAGATCAGCCTAGGCAACACAGTGAGATCTCGCCTCTACAAAAATAATTTTAAAAATTAGCCAGACATGGTGGTGCTCATCTGCAGTCTCGGCACTCGAGAGGCTGAGGTGGAAGGATTGCTTGAGCCCAGGAGATAGAGGCTGTGGTGAGCCATGATCGTGTCACTGCACTCCAGCCTGGGCGACAGAATGACATCCTGACTCAAAAAATAAAATAAATAAATAAATAGAAACAGTTCCTTTCAACTGTTTCACTAACAACAAGGATTTTGATTTTGTCTCTTTCTTGATAAACTCCTCCATGAATGGATTAAAACAATAATGCATGTGGAAATTATTTCTTTCCTAAAACAGATTCACTGAAGCCTTCACCGTAATCCTCAGTTGGTGGAGAAAATGAAAAAAGATGAGAAAAGCTTCCTTTGTTCTCAAGACCTCCATTTGAAAATTAGGGATAGCTGGTGCTTTTATGGTGAAGGAGAGCTATAATGTACTCAGACTTCGAGGTTTCTGAGAAATTATCATGCCCTAATAAGTACAAAAAATACGCATGAATAATAGGCCCTAAGTGGGTCAGAGGAATGTTGATTTCTGAGTTAAAAGTTCTCCAACTGGTAATAGCTATGTTTTCAGATGCTGGAGAATTTAAAAGGTCGGTTTTATAAAATACTATGGAATTTTTTTCCTGTGATCTTTTAGGTTTGGGGTTCCGGTTTTTCTATATCTGTAATTTTATCATAATGAAGGCCTTAGTTTTTTGTTTTTGTTTTTGTTTTTGTTTTTTTGGTTGGATTTTGCAGCCACCATAAATACGTATTTAACATTTACTCACAAGTAAAAGAAAATGCTCATTTTATTTAAAGGGAACTCCAAAGCAACTTTACTACAAGAATTAAATATGTATATAAAATGTGAATGTTATGAAATTTAAAATAGACATACATATATGAAATAAATAAAAGTACAGTTTAAAATATCTAGCAAATTATATTTATTCACTCGCATTCAGTAGATTTTGTTTTGAGATAAGAGATAAGAAATTAAATTACAACAGATATAGAGAAAGTAGAAATTTAGAATTTAGACAACATAAAATGAGTGGGTGGTGGGTACACTTAAAGCCCATACTTCTTCATCTCTGTCCAAAAACTAGTTGTACCCCAAAGCTATTGAAATTTTAAAAAATTATATTTATATTTATATGCAATCATATATATGTATTATAAATTAAGAGAAATTTTTAAAAATTATATTTATATTTGTATGCAATCATATATATGTATTATAAATTAAGAGAATTAAGAGTGAGCTCACATACATGCATCTTAATCTCATACTGATAGCTCTAAGATTTCACTTTTCTGTAGAAACTTTCACATTTTGCCTGGCTCAAAGAGAATCATCTATATTTGTGTCTTGCCTTTTCAAAATGTATTTGATGTTGCATTAAAATAAATTTTGTTGTGAAAATATTCAAGAGCTTTAGCACCCATACCCTCTGGATTATATTTCAAAGAAATCCCTTTCTATGCTCGCTGTCACAACTTTTTTTCACGACATGCTCAGTTTTTATCTGGATTTCTAAAGAGTCTTGTGTATTGCCTAACTTCATCATCCACAGTGTTATCAGAGTGAATTTTCTAATATGTAAACGTGGTCCCTTGTAAACTATCTGTTTAAAACTATTCAGTGATGCACCATTGCTTTCAGGATGTGATCCAAACTCCTCAGGACAGCACACAAGACACCTCAGGACCCAGAGACCATTTGCTGTCTGACCCTTGGTTACTCTCCACCCTCATCTTGTCCCTGGTTTTGTCAGGCCTCATGATGCACTGCATAATTGCTCGAATTGCTTCAACTGTACTTATTAGTCTGCAGCTGGTTTTGCTCAGATGTCTATGAAAACTCTTTTCTTTCTTCCTGAGGTC